GATTGAGGGGGTCAGTGAGCCTGGAGAGTCATCCCTCCAAGTGAAGGGCCTGGAGCCTCATTTCTCAGGACTAAAGAAGGGCAGATAACTAATTTTTTGGTTTGCTGGCAGTTCTGAAGAAAAAATAAATAAAAAGGTTTGGGTCAAACTGAAACAGTAACATATTTTTGGAGAATCAAATTAGGGAAAAATCATTTTGGGTCAAACAAAACATTTTGTTTCATTTTTGGAAATTTTAAACCTTTTTAAAAAAGCAAAGAAAATGAAGGGCTCTGTTCACAAACAAGGAGTAGGCAGTGCCCCCCATGATAACCTTTAGCTCAGCAGTTGGGGCACTTATCTGTGGGAGGGAGAAAGGAAGGCTCCCAGGTGCGTGCTCAAACTATTCTGGGGTGGAGCTGTCTGAGATCTTCTACTAGAGCTGTTCCACTGTGTATAAAATACTTAAATAGTCATTGAGCCACAGTGAGAGACAATGAGAATGACTCTTTCACCCAGTGGTTAGGCCCCCCAACCTGAGAAGTAGGACATCTGCTTCCAGTCCCTGTGCTAATAAATTTTTATTTGCAATTATATAATTTATATTTTAATAATTATTATAATTATCCACAGTAGAACACCTTCAACAGGAAAGATTGAGCGAGCCCCACATCAGAATACCCTGGTGATTAGGATACTTTTGTGGTAAGGACAGCTGGGGTCAAGTCCCTGCTCCTGAGCAGGCTTTTGAACCTGGGTCTTCTACATTCCAGGTGACTACTCTAACCACTGGGTGAAAAGGTTGGGCGGGAGAGGGAACACCTCCTCCTCCTGTTTTGTGAAGGGTACCTAAATCCCCTTGTAAAGCTAGCCCAGAATAGCGAAGCATTTTCTTTTCCTTTTTTGTTTCAACTGAAACAATTCACCAAAATCAATACAAAATCACTATATCTTTCAGTTGACCTGAATCTACTTTCCAAACACAAGAACATTTCCCTTGGGTTTGGTGAGCATTAGGTTTAATAGTATGCATGACCATTAGGATGCATAGTCTAGGTGAACATTAGGAGCAGTGTCTGATTGACCATTAGGGGTAGATTTAGGGAGAGGTTTAGCCAGAATACTAGTGTTAGTTATAGCATGTGTATATAGTTTAGTGTTCTACTTACTCTTAGAATTAAGATAAGCATGGTAAGGTTAGGGTTTGGTTTGGGGCTAGGGTGAAGTTTTAAAAGTTAGGTTTAGTGTGAGCGTTAGGGTGGCGTTTGGACATGAGCCAAGAAGTTGGGCACTGATGGCAAATGTTCCATGCACTGCCCAGATCTGCCTAACTCTTGACCTCTGACCTTGTATGGCAACCTTGCCAAAGACCTGTAGCCCCTGCAGAGTGGAGCAATTCCATCGGCGGTTGTGAAACTGGTGCTGACACTCCTCTATGGCCAGCTCTGCTCCATGCTTCACTGAGTCCATGGCTTCTGCTTGCCGCTGGCAGATCCGCACCTGCTCCTCCGCCAGGCCCTTCAAGCCCTCACAGGCACTGGAATCTTGCAGAGTCCCTCGCAGGGAGGGCTGCTTTGCCAAGTACCTGCGGAGAGGGGTAGAGGGAGTTAGCCACACTCAGAGATGAGCTATGGACACACTAATAGCTCAAAGGGAGAAATACCCCTTCATAGCCTCACTCTTAGAAGAGCCCATAAGGATACTCTCAGACTCCTTCTCCCCGTGTGATCACACTTCCGTCCACCCCAGGGGATCCCCCAGCCTCTCTCTTTGGGGTGCTGAGGTCTCCCACAGCTCCCCTTTCCTGTGAGATCTGCCTATCATCTCTTTTGTGGGGATTAGGGTCATTCACCCTCCCTAGGGGACCGTTAGGTAAGGCAAACTCCAGCCCACACCATACTTACAGCCAGGTCCCAGCAAGGATGTGCTGCACTGAAATCAGCACAACATACAGCTGGACAATCTCCATCTTCTTCCTGGAGAGATCTTAGCCACAGCCCCTCTGCCTTAGCTGCACAAACGCCTTTCCCTCCTCCCCAGCGCCTGGTGCCACAGAGTCACTCCCAGGGCAGTCCCAGTCCAGCACTGTGGAGAGCAAGTGCCCCCACCCTCCACAACAAGCACAAGCTGTCTCAGGGTGCCTGTCAGCACAGGAGCCCTGGGGGACGAAGAAATCTCCCAGGTTAGCACTGTAGGGGCATTTACAGCACCACTGTCCTCTAGGGACTGTGAGACATAACTGGAGGGTCAGGGACAGGGGCTCCACGACAGCTCTCCCAGAAAGGGGGCTCACATGGTGGAGTCCAACGTGAACAGCAAGCAGCCCCTGTACCCACAATTCCACATGCAGAGTCTTGAAGTCCACTCCTCGGATGAATGCTTTATACTCTCGCCCTCTTTCCCCTGCAAATCACGCTGCCCAGAAGCCAGCAGGGGAGCAGAGTGAGACCCTATTGGTAACTAATAGGCTCCTCTATGCAGTGAAGTCCCAGTGGCACCAATTTGCTGTTACGTGGTGATTCAGTTCTCCGGCATCTTTTTCTGCCACCAGTCCCTTTGGGAAGCCGGGGCGAGTCCCAGTGCTAGTTCCCAAGAGTGGCGCACAAAGAGAGCTGGTGCGGGTCTGGGCCTCCCTCACCTCCCAGCTGCCTTTCTTGGTGACTTTCTCTTGTCTGGCTCCTCCGGGCTAGAGATTCCTCTTTTCTGTCCTGCAACCCTCATGGCTACAGCAAACACACACAGCTCAGGCTGCTGCTTTCTGGCTCTCTTAACTCTTTCCCTGGCAGCTCTCCTCCCCGCCTTCCCTCCGCCAGACTGAGGTAAAGGGACATCCCTGGAAATGGGGTGGGGGGGTAATACCTCTCCCTGGGTGGGCTATTTGTGAAAACTGACATGGTCTAGGTTGGTAAATATACCCCCCTCCAAAAAACCCCCTGCACTGTGGAACCTCTGAGGGATTAGGCAAATTTAACCTTTGGGAGCTGGGAGCAGGAACATCCTGAGAGAAAGTTTTTTCCCCTAAACAGGACTGGGAAACGCCCACCCTCCTGTAGGCTAAGGAAGGTTTAATTCCTCATGTAGTTAGTTACAACTGGCTACACCTCTGGCTGTGGCTCAGGACTCATGTCACACATATGAGGTAGTCTTTTTGTCATAGTCTTTACTGAAATTGCCTGCCATACAAACAGGGCTGGATACTGCTCTGTACCATGGGTCCCTCTTTCAGCCCTCCCCCTCCCCTCAACTTTCACGTCTCCATCTCTCTGTCTCTTCTTCCCTCCTCCCAATCTTGGTTTTATCTGTTCTGAGACTGAACTCCAAGGCCAAAGGCATGTTGGGATCTGCAGCTCCAGGGTGTAACCTCCAGCACTCCCCCAGCAAGCTGGTCTTACCTGCTGCCGACTCAGCCAGGGGGCGGGGAGATGAAGAAATGCAGGTGGTTATGCTGCTTTCCCTAGTGAGCTGAGGGTCCATGATACAGCTCAGAGGTATAGCTTGGTGCTTCCTGACCCTGCCTGGGACAGCACACGAATGGAAGCTCATGGGCTGAAGTGTCAGAAAATCAGAGAGGTGGGTAAAACTTTCCAACAGGGACAGCAGAGAACTATATGCCAAAATTAGGGACCCACAAAGATCCCACAACCTGGAATGCACATGGTGGGGCATGGGCTGCTATGCTCAGCTAGGACAACTGTGTGGGGAGGTTTGTTCCCACAGAGGGGTTAAAGACTCTGACTGCCCTGTAACGGGGGAAGTGCAGATTCCTCCCCAGATTCTCTCTCTCTCTCTCTCTCCAAGCCTTTAGTGGGGCTGGATTCTCGATGGTAATTCAAAAGACACTAAAAGTAGTAAGAACAAAGATCCCAGCAACAAGGAAGCAGGAAAGGGGGTTTGGCTCAAAAAGGCAAGCACTAAAATAAAATTGGGTGAGATCAGTGGCTGGGCGGCCATTGTATCCTTGCAGGATTTATGAGCAGCAGAGACATATATCCCCGGAGTGTCACCCACTGAATCAGGAGGCAGTGACAGCCAAACAAGGGCCATACAGAATGAGAAAAACAAACACAAGAAAGAACATGCAACAGCCAGAGGAGCTGGACAGAACAGCAGAGAAAGGGTCCAGGCAGTGATGAGCCCGCAGGGGCTTGGAATAGCTTCACAGCCCCAGAAGGGGTGTTCTCACTAAAGCAGGAGGCAGTGATAGACTCGTTGGGGAGAAAGCATAGGGCTCAGAGTGTGGCAAAGAGGAGTGTCTCCCTGGTCCCAACAGCCTCCCCAAGGTGAAGGGCTCAGATACAACAGGAAATGAGACCACAGTGTTAAAAGGCACCAGAGATATTACAGAGGCTATGGAAAGAGGCAGAAAGCTCTCCTACTCTCCTTTGGATCCGTTCTCAGGCTTCCTGCTACCCCTGAATTTTCACCCTCCAAGCATTGCACAGAGTCTCACATCCTGCAACTGATTCAGCCTAGTGCCGGTTTGGTGTGCAATTAGTGACAGACCCATGCTGTGGGGTTACTGGGACGGATGCCAGCTGTTCTTTCCTCCTCTTCAGTCCCAATCCTCACACTGTCTGCATCGCTCCCTCTGGCCCTTCTCCCTCTGCAACAGTTCCATTCCAGGGATACACAGCTGGCTTTGCTCTCCAGGGGTTTCATTCTTTAGTGCCATGATTAGTGGGAGCCCAGTGCACTGACAGGAGTCTCTGAGCCCTGGTGCAGCAATTGCTGGGTAATGATTAATTTCTTCTCCATCTCACTTCCTACCCATTTGTCACTCTCATCTACTGTAGCTGGGAATATCCAAGGACAGGTGACTTTTTTTTTCCCATTGACCATGAATGATTTGGGGTGGGGGGAGTGAGGAGAAGCAATGGGTCAAAAGTGAATGTGTCCTTATGTTTCCAGAGTCCCCATGTTTCAGGGAATCTGCTGCTGCAGTCCGAGGGAGTTACTTACATTTCACAACTGTTTTCGCTTCTGCTTTCATAGAAGTGTGGCTCGGCAGGCATATCACCTGCAGACAGCAAAGTCCATTTGCTGAGGCCAACCCAGCAGGGCAACAGGAAGAAGATAGAATGAGAAGGGGAAATGAAGGAGAGAGGGAGAGAAAAACAGCAAGTAACGAAGAGAGTGTTAAGCAGCCACATGCAGAGAGTTAGGGGGAAGTAGTGCCTCTGTGTGCAGTTCTGGTCACCGGTGTTCACTAAAGAGCTATTCACTCTGGAACAGGTGCAGCAAAGAGCTACCAGAATGATCAGAGAAATGAAGCACCTAATCTTATGAGAGAAGGCTGGAAGAGCTTGGCTTGTTTCAGACTTCATTTTGTTAGTCTAGAGGAGATAAGATTTCTCTCTGTAAATACATATTAGGGGTGTAAAGGAAGGGAGAAGAGCTATGTAAGCTAAACAGACAATGCTAGCACAAGAACAAGTGGGTATAAAGTGGCCTTGAATACATTCAGGTTGGAAATCAGAAGAAGGTTTCTAACCACCAGAGGAGTGAGGTTTTGGAAAAACCTCTCAATAGGAAGAAAGGGGGAAGAAACCTAACTGGTTTTAAAATGGATCTTGATACATTTAGGAATGGGATTATATGACAGATTTGCCTGTAACAGCAGAGGACTGGACTCAGTGACCCAGCAGGTCCCTTCTAGTCCTACACTGGATGGGAGGTGCAGTCGCTAGTTTCCTGTCTGCCTTTCTACATCCACTTTGTTTCTGCTCTGCTTTCAGTTTTGATTGCTTAATTGAAGTCTGCACAGTGGCTGTGGTCATCAGGACAAGGGCATTCACCTGCTTCCAGCTCTGCTCGGAGAAAGGTAAGGAGACAGAAAGCGAATTTTTGGGTAACAGACACAAGCAATCCTCTGAACATGTGACCAAAACCTGCCCTTTGGGCCTATAAATACGGTGTGCTTCCCTCTGGTGATTTAGGGCAGTGGTTCTTAACCAGGGGTGCGTCATCTCACTGAGATATTTGCCTAGTTTTACAACAGGCTACATAAAAAGCACTAGCCAAGTCAGTACAAACTAAATTTTCATACAGATAATGACTTGTTTATACTGTTCTATAGACTGAACTGTAAGTACAATATTCTATATTCTAATGGATTTATTTTATAATTATATGGTAAAAATGAGAGAGTCAGCAATTTTTCAGTACTAGTGTGCTGTGACTCTTGTATTTTTATGCCTGATTTTGTAAGCAAGGAGGTTTTTTTTAAGTGAGGTGAAACTTGGAGGTACGCAAAACAAATCAGATTCCTGAAAGGGTATAGTAGTCTGGAAAGGTTGAGAGCCACTGATTTAGAGAATTAGAAATGAAAATGGGAATCTCGGCTTTCATGTCAAATACAGATGTTGAGGCCTTTGAGTTACAAAAAACATTGATAATGGGGGTGTCAAGGCTGAGGTTCATCAAATAACCTAAAGACTCAGAAACCAGGTGGCCTGTGCTGTACATTCGGTCAGGCAAGATGATCTGGTGGTCCATTCTGAATTTAAACTCTATGACTTCAAAAAGTCTAAATCCACAATTTATTTGACTTTAAAATAATGAGATAATTTAAAATAATCTCATGGGTTTTTTTGGAGGCTGATTCAGGGTGTTTTAACTCCTGGGTTTGGAAATATTAGATCAGCCTTGGTGAAAAACCACATACACAGCTCGCTGCACAAGGCATTCTCAGGGATAGCGTGATATAAAGAGACCTTATTGAAACTGAGTGTGGGAGCATGGATTGCTGCACCTTTTGCGGTGGGGAGATACTGCATTTTCTCCAGGAGACTTTACTTTGTTCCTTTCATTTGTTTTCCTTCCTCTAAGATAAAAGTAGCTTGTTTTGTTCCTGGCACTGTGTGTTGGTGGACATGAGTGTGTCAGAAGGTGCATGCAGTGTGTATAGACAGATAACTCCTCTGTAAGCCCTATTTTCACAAGCGAAGCAGGGTTGGTGTGGTCAGAGCTTTGATAGACCATTCTGCAGTGATTGCTGTGGGTGAATCAGAAGGGTGTATGCTCCTCCAAGAGTCAGTACTGATCCCAGTGTCTCACTATGAGGCCAGAGATTACTAGGCAGTTGAAAATGTCTGTTAAGCTAAAACAGATACCTTCACCCTTTGTGGTCCTTAAATACCCTCTGCTAGCCTGGTCAAATACAGGCTTAGGTTGATTCCATTTTGCCTTCCTGTGCTTTGAATGGGTTATGGGATGCTCCTTCACTCCCTGTTTTAGACTTGTGCTGTGTTGCTGTTAAACAGCTACTTTGTCATACCCCAGAGACACCGGCATGTCAGGGGTGGGCAAGGTGATTCTGGATTACTCTTTGTCTTTTTTCACTGGTGGTGGTAGTGTAAGGCTCTGTTAATTAAATGTTAAGTGCTTTGGGATCCTCAAGTGAAAGCAGCCACTTACATTATTGATGATCACCATCTTTCTTTGTCATGTGGCCTCTGCACATTCACACTTAGAAATCCACTCAAAGTGAATAGACCAGTGGTACCTTCTGGAACTCTTGTCCATTGGGGAGCCTGTTCACCCCGTCCCGCACGGCTCTGCGCAGGCAAGGGTATAAAATGGGGCTGCATGCTCCATATGCTGCCATTCCTTTCAACTGCAGACCTGGAGCCTCTGCCCCATTCTGTCATTGACTTTGTTGATTATTCTGCTGATTTTTGTTGAAAATGTCTTTGAAATGAGTTATTACATATTTGAGGTTAGGGTATAGTTATTAAGTAAAATTTTAGACAGCTGCAGGGAATACATGAAATTCTCTTTGAGCCCATACCTGTGACTTAATTTCCAGCAGGATACATAATAACAGACCCCATAGTGAAGTGATCCAAGTTCCAATGCTATGCATCTCATCCATGGGTCTTTCCTACTAAAGATACACGTTTGGTGCCCAGCATGCTTTGGTGAGGCAAACGCCCCATCTCAGTGGTCTGCATATCAGTCCTCTTCTCCATGGGCAAGTAGGTGAGACAGAGCCAGCAACAGGAGGTACTAGCAGCTAAGTTGATTCACAATGGGGAATTTCCAGCATTGCAGTTCCTTGCCCCCTAATGGAATTCCCAGGCCCAAGCTAGACATCCAGGCTTGCTTTACAATGATGGGGAGAGTTAGGTACCTAAGAACTGGATTCACAAAAGCCAGAAAGCTGAGCAGGGAGCAGCCTAGCCAATAGGAAATGCTAAGGGTGGAGCCATAGGCACCTACCTGTGGGCTGAAGGGAGGGGCCTATCTCTGCATGGGATTTACAGCCATGAGCCCTATCCTGGAATTAAGCCCCTAAGCCAGGTCAGTCCTCTTTCAAGAAGAAACTGAGGTGGCAATCACAGTGGTAGAGCCCCACTATGTAACTTTAGGCTGGTGGTTAGGGCACTCAGCCAGGAGATGGGAAACACAGAATGAATTCCTCCCTCTGCCTGGCCTGGAGCACAGGGATGCTGGAACAATTTGTGTAGTGGGGGTGCTGAGAGCCATTGAACCAAACTGTAAACCCTGTATATAGTGGAAACCACTTCAAGCCAGGGGGTGCTGCAGCGGTGGGCAAACTATGGCCCGTGGGCCAGATCCAGCCTGTGAGCCATTTTAAGAGGGCCCACCAGCTCCAGCCAGGGTGCCGGGTCAGGGTCCACACCATGCAGCTCCCAAAGCAGCCTCATGGGCCCACTCCAGCACTAGCAGGGTTGAGGGATGCTCCATGCATAGAAGCCAGAGAAGGAACATGCCGCTGCTTCTGGGAGCCGCTTGAGATAAGCATTGCTCAGAGCCTGCACCCCGAGCCTCTCCCCAGCCCTGATCTCCCACATGCTCTCCAAACACCTCGATCCCAGCCCAAAGCACCCTCCTGCACCCCAAACCTCTCATCCCCAGCCCCACCCCAGAGCCCACACCCCCAACCAGAGCCCTCACCCCCTTCAGCGCCCTTGCCCCAATTTTGTGAGTGTTCATGGCCCGCCATATAATTTCTATTGCCCAGTGTGGCCCTCAGGCCAAAAAGTCTGCCCACTCATGCCCTAAACGCTAGGCTAAAGGTTATAATGGAGGGCACCCCTACCTCCTCCTCTGTCCATTTTGTGTGGTTTAGATGTGATCAGACTATGATTACGGGATTGGGCCCCAAAGGCCAGATAGACAGGGCAGTGCCTAGTTTGTGAATCCTGCTAGGGTTTAGACATGTGTTAGATGCTGAGCTGCTGGGTAGTGGCAGGACTTAGGTACCTGTGTACGTGCCCAGATGCAGAAATTTTAGATGTCTTGGGGACTTCAGGGATCTGTAAGAGACCATCTTCTGCGCAGGGTTCCTTTCAGGATCTAAGAAACCAGGCCTGGGATCCCTGTCAACCCCTAACTCTGGATATAAGGCAAAAAAAAAAGCTGGTTCAGAACTAGTGACCATGTCCTGTCTGTGGTTCCAAAGGTCCTTCTGCTGAGAGAGGCACTCTGCTCCTCCCCCAGTTCCATCCCTTCCTCAGGATTCAGCCCCAAAAACTCCTTCTAATCAGAATGAGCTGCATTCTATGAAACCGAGCTGAAACCTTCATGACCAAACATGAGTTGTCTCTAAAACAGTCTGTAGCAGACTGGATATTTCATAAACGTGGGTGGCAAGGTTACAATACCAAATCCAAGAGATTCTGATGGACAGAAAACCGGGACAGTCAGTAATGGATAATTTCCTCCTGGACTGGGGAACAGGCCTCTTAATGCCTTTCACTAATTCCTCTAATACAGTAGTTTTCAATCTGTGGTCCATGGACCCCACAATTGTCCACAGACTAGGTCTAAGATTTCCAAAGAGGTTCACACCTCCATTTGAAATTGTTTAGGGATCCACAAATGAAATAAAAGTTTGAAAACCTCTGCTTTAATACCCAAGGGAGCTATGGAGAATCAGACAGGACAACCCATTGCACCGGCATGGACCAGACAATGGTGGTATTCTGACTTGCTGCAGGTCTACCATGGGAATCCTCTGTTCCTCCCAGTTTTGCTGGATTTACTAATTCAGAGGGAGAGACAGATTCAACATCCTTAGAGTCTCTCTATCTTGCAGCTTGAACTATGGGACTTCATTGCTCAGCCCAAGTTCAGGAGATCCTGCTGAATTCCAAAAAATGTCTCACTGCCAAGAAGGTTTTGCTGTGGATGACCAATACTAACCTCTCTCCAACAGCAGGCCCAATGTTAGCAATCCTCTAATACATATTACATCTCAAATCACTGGAACTATCCATATCTTCAGCAAAGGTTCATCTTGCAATTATTTCAGCCCATCATCTAGACATGGACAACAAGAGTGTATTTAGTCACCCTATAGCATAGTACTTGCTAAACTTCCAATAGTGGGAAAGTTCTTGTCTGCAACTTCATTTTCTTATGACAGTAGAAGCCCTATTCCTAGATTATTTTTTTTCTCTCCCTATTCTCCTGGGGTGGCTCATGAAATAGACCTTGAAAAGAGTCAAGAACAGGAACTGAGAGGCAGAGCAAAGGGTCAGAGCTGGAGCAAGGAACCAGGAGTCAAGTCAAGGGTCAGAGCCAGAGTTAAAAATCAGGAGATAAGCCAAGAGTAAGTCAGGAACTGGAGGTCAGTGATGGAGACAGAGTTGGGAGTCAAGCCAAGAGTCAGAGTCAGGAATTGATCTAAGGGTCGGAGCCAGGGCTAGTAGCCAGGGGTGGGGAGTAGAAGCAGGGATCTGGAACAAGGCAGGAGTGCAGAAACAGGACAGAAATCAGGAGGGAAGGCAGAGTCTGAATTAGCAGCCAGCCAAGGATATACCTAGTGGCTCAAACAACTTTTTTTGCCTCCTT